ACTACTATAGTATAATTGGGTTATAGATTTTTTGAGGGGTTCCTGCAGTGAGGGGGCATCCCATGTTAGAGCTTGAAATCCTGTTTTGCTTCACAGCATGGCTACGTTCATCGAAGAGGCCTTCCCAAGCGCGTCCAAAGCTTCCATTGCTCCAGACCTGCAAGAAGAAGAAGGGTTTAGGTTGGGTACTGCNNATATACGTATATATAGCCCTTAATAGGACCCCTAATATAGACTGTTACTGGGTGGGGGGAGTACCCAAGGGTTAGGGTTTAGGGTTACGGGTTAAGGGTTTAGGGTTTAGGCTCAGGAATGGCCAGCTGCAAACTACAGACTTCCAAAAGCAGAGATATGATGGTCAGGTTCAGGGGAGCGTGTGTGCGTCTGCATTACTTACAGGGGATGGGGGCCAGGCGGGGGGCTATGGGCAGTCCTAGAAAAAAACCTGAACCCTAAACCCCAATCCCTAAACCCTGAGCCCTAAACCCTATACAGTGTCAGTGTCTTGCCTTGGAGAAGACCGTGCAGAGGTCGCCACCGAGAGGGGCGACTTGTGTCGAGCCACAAAACTGCGAGGTCAGCTTTCCCATGAGGGACTATATAGGACTATATATAGGGCTTAGGGCTTAGGATTGAGGGTTTAGGGCTTAGGATTTAGGGTTTAGGATTTAGGATTTAGGGTTTAGGATTTAGGTTTTGGGATCTAAGGCTTAGGATTTAGGGTGTAGGATTTTTTTGTGGGACCTTTTCTTGTCAGCCTGAGCCCGAGGAAATGTTTGATTAACACGGTCCATGTGGGCTGGCCCTTACCACCAGTCACCCCGCAACAAATCCGTCACATCTCAAGTCTTCCACCCCTACCAACAGGGAAAGTACGATGGGCAGAAGAGGAAATGATGAAAACTCACTTCAACCAGCTACGTAGATCACGTTGGCCCCTACGAGCATGCGATCCCTCACCCTCAGCTTCACTAGGGTGTAGGATTTGGGGCTTAAGGTTTAGGATTTAGGGTTTAGGGTTTAGGGTTTAAGATTTAGGGTTCAGGGTTTCGGGGTTTAGGGTTTAGGGTCTAGGATACAAGGGTTAGGGTGCAGGATTTAGGGTTTAGGGTGGGTGGGGCCCCATAATGGAAACCAAATTGAAAAGCAAACGGAAAATCAAACGAGAACTCGAGTTATCTAAGGGCTTGTAGGGATCAGGGTTTCCATGAATTGGAATACCTTTTCGGGGGCCCCTATAAAATGGACTATAACATTTGGAAGTCTATATTGGGTTCCCCCAATTTATGGAGACTATCATATCTAAATCAGGGTAGCAACAGAGAGAATCTCGGAAGCAGGATAATGTTAAGCATAAACACACCACCCCCGAAAAGTAGAAAACGACTCTGCTATACTAGGCGGGTGTGGTGTTTTAATGTTAGGGGGAGGGGATTGATATCTTTTTGTGCCTCCTGCAAAACTCTGCTTGCGCAGGCATCAGTTTGAGGACACTTCAACAGTGGCACTCTGCTGACTGGTGAGCGAGAGCCCCAAGTGAAGGCCCAACAAGCTTCAAGGATCAGGAATGGGCCTGGAGCAACAATTGCAATCGGGCTGTTCATGGTACTACTTGTGCTATGCTAGCTTTGCTGGAGGGCATCTGCAAGTTCAAGCCTTCGCCTCATCCGCAAAACTCAGAAGCTGAAGTTGGAAATCCTGGCAGCTGCCTCGATCGGCTGGCGGGTTGCTGCTGCAAGGCGTGCTGAATGTACAAGGTGCACGTCGCAGCACCCAGCTGCACGATTCACGTAAGCAGTCGCCGAATCTGTACATCAACGTTGCAGCTGCAAGCGGTAAGCTTCATAGCCATTTGGCACGGTGCACCGCCACCAAAACTGTCAACAACAAGGCTCCTCCTTGCTGCCCACTGCTGGAGCTAAGAGCATCCTGCTCTGCGTGGAACTCATGCGTAGTGCTCTCCGTGACATCCGCCGCGACCAGCTCCTCTGAAGTGGAATCCGTAGAGTTCGGGGAGCTGCTGGAGGCAGAGGAGGTGGAAGGTTCTGTTGAAGTTGAAGAGGTGGCCAAGGAGCTCTCAGTAATGTTCACTGCCTCTAAATCCACCTGGACCTCCTCAACGGCGTGTGGGTTGTCTGCAAGGATAAACCTATGTCCCTAGATTTTTGATCAACCTGCCCGGAAATTTGAGGAAATGAAGCAGCAAGAACGAGGTTCGGAAGCGTACTCCAAACAGAACTGAGATTTTGAAGAAGGGAAAAGGACAGGATCCACTGTGCCTACGCCGCAACAGCACCATGCCACAATCAAAACTACCAATCCCCCAGGGCCAGGGAGGGCTCAGGGACTAATGCCCTGAGATAGTAGGTCTGCTTTGCTTTATATGCGGGTATCCAGAAACACGCCCCCGCCTCCTCATACCCCCATGTTCGGTATTATACAACCCCTTAAAAAGGTACCCTGATTCCTGGAAATTCCCCTTGGGCCAGAGTGCTACCTAGGTTAACCCTCACTCCTCGATGGCGGTGGCAAACTCTGGCGCCAACTCGGCGATGGCAGACACCTAGGTTGGCGTGGATCTTTGTCCATCTTAAGCACCATCTGTATCTGATATTCAAACTGTTGGGAGGTGCTTGAATCCATACGGGAATTTCTGAAGACAACACATGTGCCGTTTCAGGGATCTGCCAGAGTTTTCGACTTATCACAACTGTTAGGGACCATGCATAGACCAGCTTGAGGAGCTGCTAGGTAGACACCTTAGAGACACAACTCACAACAACGTGCAAGCCTAAGTTGAATGTTGAACACCCTCCCACCTCCTAATACTACGCGCTCACTACAGAAGAGTATTTGAGGAACATGTTCTAAGTCATGGTGCTGAGCATTAGGCGGAAACGGCTGGTGCAAATGCAGGCCCAGGCCACAGAGTGTAAAAATACTGGGCTCCCAGCAACCCTCCGGATATCTAGTGCTTATAGGAGCATAGGATGCTTATTTGAGGGTTGTCCGGCCCTAACGATTCATCCCAAACCATAGACCCTCATCTTTGAAACTTTGACTACGTTCCTTTGAAAACCTCCCAGATCAGCTGTCGCCACAAGTTCGCCCATGACTGCAGTCGAGTTCTGCTCAACCTGCTAGAGGGGCTCGGTTTCTCTTTTCTTGCGCTCAGGTTTAGAGGTCTAGGCTTCGGGGTCCTCTGCGGAGTTCAGATTTAGGGCTGAGGGTCAAGTACACAAGCCTAGGGGGAGACCAGAAGCCCTTAGGGTAAAGGGACTGAAAGAGAATGTGACATGCTCAGCTTTGCAGATTTCTGCATTCAGCTTTTGCAGGATTTGCTACCCCTCCCTTCTTTTGGAGCGGAAGGTTGCCAAATTGAGAGAATCCCCTCCACCTTGAGGCCCCACGCTGCACAATTGCTGATTCCGTCACTGGCATCTGGCCCCATTGAAAATCCTCCGGTGTAGAAATATCTGAAAGAATAATTGATGATCCTGCGAAGATTCAACGATTCTAGAATGGCTAGTCTACAAGTACTGCGCCTGATGCTGCACATTGCTGGTGCCAGACATGCGCCAAGCTACCTCAATTCCCATCACACCCAAAACAAAAACAAACTGGAAGCCTTCCATTATGCTGGTGAAGGCCCACTTTGTAGATGCGCCATGCCAGCAGCAAAAAAGCCCTACCCTTTCACAGACTAACATGGAATCTCATATGGCCCTTTCTTGAAAGGACAGCAGTCCTCGTAGGACCCTTATTGGGATTCCGTGTTAGTTTGGGGGAGAGGAGGGGTTCGCCGGGAGGAACACGACTCAGTTTATCTCATCCCAAGAACTGTAAGAAAGTATAGAATATATCATAGTGTATATTCTGGTATATATTAAAAATAAGTATATGCTATAGTATATATGAGAGGACATTGCCTTCTCATAACTTGGGCTTCTCCCTGCCTAGCCCTAAACCCTGTAAACCGCTATCCAAACCTAGTTTCCATTTCATCTGCAATTTCTTGTCCACTTGATTCTCCATTATTGGGGGGTAATATTCCGAAACCCTAAACCCTAAATAGTAGTTTCCATGTTCTTTTCCAGTATCCCCATGTTATCCCAATATGACCCATACCCCAATATATTCTAGCCGTACAGTGTGAGGGAGGTGTCAGGAATCGGAGCATCAGCGAGATTCCCTAAACCCTAATCCCTAAACCCCAAACTCCCGGGCGCGGCCTTCTGGACCATCTCCTCAAGAGCAGCTGTGTCCAGCTCCGACTCCTCTGTTTCAGTCACTGTGTATTCCACAACCAGCTCGCCTCGGAGTATGGTCTTTAGAAGCTTGGCTAGGGGTTATGTGGGGATTAGGGCTTAGGCTTCAAGGTGATGTAGGGATTACATGAGGTTTAGGGTTTACTTACTGATTCCTGCAGTATACAAACCCGAAAAGATAAGTATGCCCTTATTCCCTACTAAGCCCAAACCCTAAACCCTAATCCCTAATCCCTAAACCCTAACCCTGTATATTCCCTTACTAACGCGCAGTCAGTTTAGGGCGGAAGAGGGTATAACCTTACCTTGGTGACCTATCTGCTCTTCTTCAAGGGGCACAAGGTCAATAAGTTGAGACCGATCGCCACCATGTAGGGGAACAATAGGGCTGATATTGGATTATACAGGGGTAATATAGGGAGTATATAGGGAATATATAGGGGTAATATAGGCGGTTTGCTAGCTTTCAGCAATGGCTTAAAGCTTAAGTACCCAAAAAGGGCCCTCCTCTCCTTCCACTCCGGGACACCAGCTGGCTGCTGCCCAGAAACTCAGCGAAGCCAACCGGCGACCCCCCACCGCTGGCACCACGCTGACACTGGTGATGTTGACGTTATCTTCTGGGACCTCAGGGGCCTAGAGGCTTAGAGCTTTGTTGGATGTAGGGAGAATGCGCAATTGTTACATGAAGAGGACTCACACATGATCTACATATGATTTAACAAGGGGACCCCAAGATAGACCCCAAATACTATAATTCTCATTATAAGGCCCCCCAAAACAGTCCCTTATTTTTAGGAAACCCCCAGTTGAAATTGGCATTCAAGCTACTCAGGAGGCCTCGGATGTCGAAAATCTATAAGCAAGTTCGATCCGCCATCGATGGGGTGGCAATATTGAACCTTCGCACCTGAAAATCTACCCCCGCTTCGTGGTTGCGACCCCCCCTCCATAGACCAAAATCGCGAGACAAGTGTTTTCGGGAAGCTGTTTTTGGCAGAGTAACCTTGGCTTTTAGAGTTTAGGGAGAATGGGGCAGGAATTAAACGGAAAATGAAATCGAAACTGGGGTAACAGGGGGGGCTATAGGCTTAGAGTTTTACAAGTTTGGGATACCACGAAACAACCTTTGAAAACCTCCATCACTGCCCGTACGAAGAACTACATCTGCCACAAGCATCTTCTACTCAACATGAAAAGTAACACTCACCGAGGAGTTTCCACAAATCAGGGCATCCCTCCCTGTATACCCACCAAATGTACTTGAATCGGTTTAGGGTTTAGGGGTCCGAAGCTCCAAATCTAAATGTAACATCCTGCACCCCTAAACTCCTTAAGCTCACTAACCCATTAAATGCTAAAGCCCACGCAATCGCAAACACCCTAAATCCCACAACCACCAAACCCCAAATCCAAAACCTTAAATCTTAAATCCTGGACCCTAGACCTTCAATCCCAAACCCTTAACCCAAATCCCTCACCCTAAACTCTAAATGCCACACCCTGAGTCCCAAACACTGTAGGCACTCAACCCCAAATCCCGCAACCTAAGTCCTCCACCCTAAGTCCTTCACCCTAAGTGCTAAAAAAAACCTTAAATGGCAAACCCGAAATCCTTCACTCTAAATCCTCAACCCTAAGCCCTTAACCCTTAACCCTAAACTCCTAACCCTAAACCTTAACCCCAAACCCTGTATCGTTGACATGCGGGGCCTGCATTGCTCGGGCCAGGCCCCTCCGCAGGCCCCTTCCTCCGCTGCTGTTGGAGAACTTTCATATGTAGGGATACCCAGGGAGCTTGGAAAAGAAAATGGAAACTACTATTTAAAGGTTTAGGGCTTAGGGTTTCAAGTCTCAGGTTCCAGGACTTGGGTCTTTTTAGGATTTAAAGCTTAAATTTCCATGATGGAGATTCAACTGGGAAACCGAATTTGAAATCAACTGGCAAGTGCTGTCATATAGGAATGTGCGGAACTGACTTCAACTATCATTACCAAGTATTCTGGCTGTATACTGTATATTCTATATCCACATTTTGGCATCCCAACCGTGAACCTTGCATAACCCGTTTTAAAGGGAATGCATATCAGGGAAACTCAGTTTAAGCCCTCAAATGCCTAAAAAAAACTATAGAAGCCGGATTTCCGCTTCAAGTTCCATTTTTTCATCTCAGTCTCCAACGATGGTAACTTCATCTCTATAAGTGCCTTAACAGCAGCAACCCTTAACCTTAACCCCACACCCCCCCTAGACCCTAAACCTCAGACCCATGAACCCTGAACCCTAAACCCTAGACCCTACACCCCTAAAACCTAAACCCGAAACCCTACACCCTAACTTACTGTAGCCTCCTAGGCTCCCCAGTAACCCATGCATAATAAGGGTACCCTTTTTCCTAATGTTCAGCTTCAAAAGGGTGCTACTGGGGGTACCAAACCCTAACCCTAAATCATATATCGTAGTTTCCATTTGCTTTTCCACTAACCTTATACAAACCCTATAGAATCCCTAACTTGCTTTAGCCTCCCTAACAGCAACCTAGTTTCGGGCCGCCATGTCATCCACGAAGCTTGCGGCCGAGCGGACGCGCAGCCGCAGGCGGCCCACAAAGATGCGCCTTTCTAGTACGGTTTAAGCTTTAGGGATTAGGGTTTAGAGTTTAGGGAGAGTTTGGGGATCCGAATGCGCGATGTAAGGCCCCAACCATTGGCCCTTAAGAGCTAAAGTTTTAATAGATTAGCAACTGTTGCAAATATGATAGCAAAATTGCAAGCAAAAAAGCAACAGTAACCGTAAGATTGCAAATCCCTAGAATCCTAGAAAGACTTAGGTTTGCGGTATGGAGTTCAAGGCCATTGTACAATAGTCCAGGGTTTAGAATCTGGGGTAGAGTATCAGCTAAAGACACGCCTGTCCGTGAATTGATGTTTGGTAAGGGCTATCATGGAATAACTAAGGCAATTACCACTTCCTTCATCATTGGGGACTGGAAATCATGACTACAATACAAGGAGTTTAGACTACAGCTCAACTAATATAATCCCTATATAACCCCTATAATCCCTGTAGTCTCCATCCTATTTTCCATTATCCCTATAGAACCCTATATAATATAGTACTGGTTTTGCAACCAGGCCTTTGACGGTCCTTCGGGAACTTCGGTGTTCCTACCGGCGGCAGCGACGGCAAAACCTTACCAGACAGGTTTTGCCATGCTTTTTGCCATTCCACCAAGCAACAGCCACTGCTGCCACCACCAACACCATGACTACGAATACTGAGTATATAACCCCTACATAATCCCTATATAACCCATTATAGTAGTTTCCATGTTCTTTTCCATTCTCCCTATATACCAAAATAACCCCTATGTACTGCTACTGTAGTAGTCACCAGAATTACTGATTACTGCTACACATCCAGCAGGGATGGTCATTGTGGAGTCTACGGCAAGAAACCCATGATGCCATTCGACAGAGCTGAAGGGTATGCAAGCTGCTTGCTGTCTCCTAGAACGCGGAGAAGCATGGATTGCGGACGCTCTGAGGTTTCGCCATGAATGATGCGCATGATCCATCCCCTCGCTCGCTGCTCACTAAGGTCCACTGCTTAAGGTTTGGATATACTCCCCTATGGTTTTGGAGATTCCTGGGCTCTTTAGCTCCCCTTGATTATATTGATATAGACTATCCCTAGCTCCTTAGCTCCCCCCAAAAGTATGGGTAGTAAATGCTGAGCATTCGGACCCTGATCCAGCTGAAGTTCGAGCTAGCTCGTGTTGAATTACTTGCATCCCGACAAATGGATCCCTGCTTTGGCGAAACCAAAAACACAACATTGCAAGACCCCGTGACCTCAAACCGCAAGCCCTAAATCCTAGGTCTTAGGCCCTAAAACCAAAGCCCTGAAGCCTACACTTAAGTTCTAGATCCTCAACCCTTAACCCTAACGGATCCTAAATCCCAAGCCATTCTGAACCTAAGAGCTGCCAGCCACACATCCGTGAGCTTGGTGTCTTCTGGCATCTCGCAGGTCTGGTCCTGCCACAGCGGCTGCCCAGTGTTTATGGGTTTAGGGCTCAGGGTTGAGGATTTAGGGTTTAGGGTTTAGGGTAAAGGGTTTAGGGTTCAGGGTTGAGGATTTGGGGTTTAGGGTTTAGGGTTCAGGGTTGAGGGTTTAAGGTTCCTTTTCGGAGTCAGCGGATGTTACTCCTTGTTGCTTGGATAACACATCGCGAAA